GGCCATCCATTTGGCCATGGGTGACATAGAAGTAGCCATAGTCCAAGGAAAGAGGATCCTTTCTTCTCCCAGCAGTCACAGACAGCTAGGGGTGAGACCTCATGAGACCCTCCCCATCCATTCTGTAATTTCTAAGTGACTTGATCTTTTGCAGGTCTTGTACAGATAGCCAAAGCTGTTCTGAGTTCATGAGTCCAACAGTCAAGTAAGGTAACATTTCCAGAAGGTAGCATTCCACAGCATCCTTTCTCGTCTCCAGCTCCCTCACTTCACCCCCTCATCTACGATGCTCCCTGAGTCTTTCAGTTGTGAGGGAGAACAAGAAAACCATTTTTAAAAGTCATGATTATTAGACTCCATTTAACTAAAAAATCAGGGGAAGTGAGAACAAAGTGCATTTTTACATATCACAATGCAATTTTCTTGACAGTCCCTGTTCCTGTTAATTTGAGGCATGTTCACAGTACCTAGCATTAAATTTGTTCAGGAAACATCTTGGTCTTTGGAAAGAACATGGATTTGAAAGTAGACAAATTTAACCTCCATTCTCAAATTTTCCTTCAAAAAGTATGTTACCTCCTATAAGTTTCTTAGTTTCTCGAAACATCAAGCTCATATTTTGTAAAACAAAGTAATGCAGTCTTGAAAATTAAGAATCTGCTTAAGATGCGGAGTCACACATTTATCTTACAAAGATACACAAAGGGAACACAGCTTATCTCTACATCATCTCAGTTTTCTCAGAACACATCACTTCTCATCTCACAGGGGAGAAAATGAAGGCTATTAACACAGTCTGATAAGATCGATCTCACCAAATAATTTAAGGTGTTCTTTGACTAATGTTTCTTTGAAGGAATCATTCTTTCATAATGCTTTTACCCTTCTTTTTCCAATGTAAGATCTAGGAGTAGGGTGATCATGTCATCTCACAGCTCTGTGTAGTAGTGTGTAGAGGAGGGAGAAGAGTCTCCCACTAGCAGTGGTATTTGTCCAAGTGGCATGAGACATTGTTTCATGCCAACTGCTTCTAGCATGATTCATAAGAAGCCAATAGCTTGAAGACACTCTAGGATGCTAGATCTCTTTGATATATGATTGAAAGAAGCCCATAATGCTTTAGTCCTGTAATGAGTATAAAGACAGATTCAATCCATCCACTAAAGAACGCTAAAGTGGTTGTGGTTGTAGTCATTATGCGTACTATCTCTCTCTATCAAAAGAGGAGTTAAACATTCTTGACACCCATTCACTAAACAGGATGGTAGAATTGTTCCTGGTGTTTTATTCATTTCACAACAATACATACATAATAATGATCTTTGTTCTGTCTTTTGACAATCTGTACCTTTAGAAATAAAGTTGATACCATCTCATCTTTAATCATTCCTTTGCTATTTGCTAGGAGGGGTATGGCCTTTTGACCTGCTTGTTTAGCTCTGCCAGGATCATGGTCTTTCCTGATGATTTGGCTTCATCAAGGCCCTAGGACTTCCTGCAAGCCCCACTTTCTTTCTCAGTCTGGTGTTCTGTTCTCCAATATTCACACAAGGTATCTTTCTCTTAAGCCTCAAGTAATCACTAGCAAATTTCCAAGTTAGTTCCTGAATTCACTTGCACATCTTCCCAGAACAGCACAGCATCTGGGAACTGCCTCACATGCCCCAGGAGCACCTCTTACTAGCCAATCCTGTTTATGCTCACACTTAACCTCATACAGAGATCTCCACATGTGGGGCCCTGGCATCTTCTTAGCCCCAAAGGAAGCAGAACAGCAGCTCATGTTTCTTCACTGTTTTCTTTCTGTAGTCTATCTAGCATAGTGTTCTTCTAGAATCCTAACCTACAGAAAACTTCTATTATTTATTTCCTGTCATCTCTTCCCACTATCTTAATGAGATCTATATTTATTTTAGTCCATTTTGGGCGTGGAGATGACAGATCCACTCCTTCTAAGTCTGGCAGGCTACCCAATCTTAAAAACTTTTCTTATGTGACAACATAAGTGTTTCAATGAGGAGCTATATAGAAAATCTTAATTTTATTTTACCTGTGAACTCTCTGAATACAGTACTTGTTTCAATGTTCACATTATAATTACAATATTGCCTAGAAAGATAGTTTATAACATGATATAATATCAAGTAATGATTCTAATTCCATACTGTAATCAAGAATGTGGTTAACCACATCTGGTCACAAAAGTGATCTGTGTTATATATCAAACTTTTAAGATATCCCATAAGTGTAGAGATTAGGAACAATGCATTAGGTTCCATTTGAAGTAGATAATTGACCAGAGAGGATCTGGGTTTCAGATTTTTCATTATATTCAATTTCTATAAAGAGCCATATGTTCTTTATATAACTTGTTCTTCAACTTAAAAAACGTTGCATAGGGTGAAATGCCACAAAGCAACAGAATCTAATCCATGATTTGAGAATTCCACTAATGTTACAGTACATAAATTGCTGCCTATCAATATCCATATAAGAATCACAAATAATTAAAGAGAGGTTTGGTAAAGCATAGATACATATATTAGTTTGTATGTGCTATATTGCTTTAAGCAAACAAAAAGTTCAGCTTAGCTGCTCTAAAATATTCTGCAGACTATAAATCATTTTCCTGTCATGACAGTCCAAACCAGTATCAACATAATCAATCCAGCTTCCCAGACACAAGTGTTATCACTATTTCAGTCAAGCAATGTAATCATTATATTATTAATCAATTTCCAGACAGCTCTTGATTCCAAATGTTTAAATGTTTTATGGTTGTGAAATGCTAAGCACTATCTGAAGACATTTTAATTCTTTCAGTATATGCTAAAAGACTATCATCAGCATGTTCAGAGTGTCTCCCCTAAGGATTGCTGAATATTACTGGGTTCTCCCTCATCACTATATATTCACTGATTTTAGTTTCTCAACTCCTTATCTAGTTTCTTAATAAGAAATTCCCCTAGGCTTGGTCAGAACTGTCTTCTCCATGTGTGTAATAGTGCATTTACTCCATGAGAGTAGGCTTTTCCTCCACTGTTATCAGGTTAACAAGTTCCTGTCAATACAAGTCTTCCGTATCTTGTTAGAAAGTGGCTTGCCTTTTGCCAATCTTTCTGAACTATATAAAGAGAAAATAATTTTTTTTCTCATCCCAAAAATCTGGATTGAAAGTTAATTTGGAAGGGTAAAACAAAATAAAAATTTAGCTTGGCCACCTGGTCCAGGTGAAGATAAAATGTAACAGAAGAAGACTGAATTACCCAGTAATGTGGTAGACACACCTTCAACTGTCCAAAAGTAAAAATGAATGTTACAGACTGAAAAATTCTCTGAACATCGATCTCTCTTTAAGAACAGCTTGTTCCCATGTGGCCCATGGTAACAAAATTCTTAACATCTTTAGTTCCCAACTTTGCCTTCTAGCAATCAGTTAAGTAATTCCATTAGCTCCCTCAATTTCAGACCACTTCATGTGAAAATTCTTTGGAAGATGTTTTAAAGAATATAAAATCAGAGCATAGAGATAAAAGAATATAAAAATATAATAGTCAAAAGAATATAAAATCAGAGCAGAGAGATAAAATGCCAATTTTTGAAATGCCATACATTAATAAAAATTTTCAACTGACTTCTAGCTCCTGAATTGTCAAATTCAAGGAAATTGTTTTCTGAATTATCCCACAAAGTGGTTATTGAGAGACAGTGGAGTGTAAAAAAGTTGGAGTCAAATGGACATTGAGTTTGAACCCTGACTTCATAACTAGTAAATTATACCACCAGTAATGATTTTTTTTACCTTTAAACCTCAGTTTCTTATCTTCAAATGGAAATGGTAAGTCTTTCAAAGCATTTCTGTGTCATGAGGACTTATGGTTATTTGTCTGTAGGCCTAGCACAATTATCTGTTCACACACATGGTATAATTCATGATAGTTCTTTCAACTATTCTCACAATGCCCCATTCCTTGACTACACTATATCATAACTCTAAATTCTATTTCCAGCCATTCCCATACTTCTATGAGGTAACAGTCACATAAGCAGTATATTAGGAAACAGGTAACCAAGTATCTTAAATGTCTGAAAACAACCTTAATTCCTTCAAACAACTAAGAACACTCATATTCAAAGATCTCATAACTGAAGGAAGATCAAGCTTACTTAACTACCTTTTATGATAGTGGCCCAAGAGGGCAGACCATGACAGCTGTGGTTATGTTCTTATATGTGACAACCTACAGCGTAGGCACTCCAGGCTGTATCCGCAAAGCATCCTGAATGCCATTGGATTCCCACTTATCACTGTGTGTTCCTCAACGCCTAGTCTTAGCTCGCAGCTCCAGATCCACTAAGAATGACATAAAATGTTTAAAGCACTGCTTGAAAGAAATATGCACAATTATACTCAGAATTTTTTGCAGCTTATCAATTATATAAAAATTATTAACAATTACATAAACGTCCATTTCTTAAATCAAAATAACACTGCCACCAATAAGAAAGGACCCTGAGCCATTCAATGTTCTTGGCATTTTTCTACTTCTAAAAGTCAAATATGGTTTAAATTCTAAAGTTTATGAGATATCTTCTATACCCATTTCTGTTGATGCGATACTCCGGTGGGCAGGAGGGCATGGAACTCTCCTGAAGACACATGTGGCGCAGGCAGAGAGCGAAGGGAACGCTCTCTAGGCGTCTGTCTCCCAGCACAGAACTCTGCTGTATGACATCAAGGCTTCTCGCTCTTTGTTCTACACCCAACTTCCGGTAACGGCTCCCCAGTCAGCAGTTCCGTCTCTGTGGCATAAAGAACAAAAGTCAGAAAACGACTGAAGAACCTTAGGGAAATGAGATTCTCTAAAACTGGGATGGAAAAGGAGGAAAACGTGTATTCAAAAATCCCAAACAAAGCTCTCACCCCTGGAATTCTGCAGGAAAAGGAATGAAGTGAACTAGTTGCTGGGACAAGCTGTGTTTGGGAGAAGGTTGTGGAAATGGGTGACCTATTGGTATTTTTCCTTTTGCCTCTGTCTCTGGCAGCCTTCCATGAGGTCAGAAGCTGTTTGGAGTGTGACCCCAAATTCATAGAGGATGTTAGGACATTGTTGGGACATCTGATACCTGTAGAAGTTCCTGGGAGAACTCAGCTGCTTGAAAGGCAATTTAAGGAGATAACCCACTTAAGCTTCAAGGTCTCTCACGAGGATACGACGCTTCGGTTGTTGGGTGAGGGAGGCCTGACTCCCTGAGTGTTTGGGAGGTTAAAGCGGGGAGGGAGACATGGAAGAGAACAGCTGGGTCCACACACTACCCTTCGGCAGATGTGTTCACACCCCACGTGTACCTCTCTCTTTCCTATATAGCTGTTCCAAAGGTTGTCGAGTTGAGAATGTGTCTGAAGGATGAACTTCACAGACTGGGCAATGAAACATGGACAGGTACGATGCTTCGCCGTCAAAACTTTGTATGTGCTAAGCAGATCTGAGGAAATTTATCCAGGGAGAACGAGGCCACATAAGTAAAATTGAATCCTGAAATGGGCGCCCTCATTTCCGGTAACCCTCCGTTTCTTTTTAGGAGTCTTTATCATTCAAGGCAAGCTTCTTGAGGTCCGAGGAAACCTGGAATCCAAATTGAAAGAAACAATAAAGAGCTTCTCTGAAGTTGGTAATGAAATATTTCTACCTACCAACACTGAAATTGTGTCACAGGACAGGAAATGAGGGGTGAGATGAAGAATGAGGTCCAGGTTGTTCAGAATGGACGGAGGCAGAGCAGGAAGTGGAAAGGGAGGGGAGTACGTTGGGAATAAATTAGGTAAATGCTAAATTGACTGTAAGATCATTGGAACTTTCTGATTCTCTTTCAGCTTGTTCAGAAGACTGCAGCGAGTACAGTGCACGGGATGCCTCGAGGTTTCAGCCCACATTTTCCCATCTCCTCTGCTCTGTATTTTATCTGTCTCTCCCCGTTACACCGAGAACCCAGTTCCTTGACCTGTATTTCCAATATGTTTACCAACAGTATCTGATGACAAAATCAGCTTATGACATCCTGTATGCCCCACAGATTTAGAGGGTCCTTAAGACGTCCCAAAGTGTACTTCCCAAGCCATTGTTCTAATATGAGCTATGGTGTCATTTCTCTACTTTTTCCACAAAGAACCAAAAAACTTACAGACTTTAACACTTAATGATTCTGATTACATGGGGAAGAATTCAGAGAAATGTAGCTGAGGAGCACTGAGGATGCCTGAGGTCTAATCTATACTTAAGAGTGAAGGCACTTCCCTTCGCTGTGTCTCTCTTATGATCATATTTTTCTTCATCAGTTACGATTGAAGGTCCTGTCCTTGATTGTTGGACCTGTCTTCGTATGACTACTGGGTGCTTCAGAGGAGACTATTGTAAAGGTGACAAAGACTGTGGTGTGGCAACGTAAAGGGCCAAGGATCAGGAACTGGGGGTGGGGTGGGCCTCATTGATTGGCTGTATACCTTCTACGCAGCTCATGGTGTTAACAAAAATCAGAGCTAAAATGTTGAGCAAAATGTGTACCAGTATGAACATCTCAACACTAGGCTAATTTAAGTGGGTGTGAAGTGAGTAAATCTGGATGGCAAACTCCCCATGGAGAAATGATTTTTACATGCTATGGTTAATCAAACAATAGCACAAAAGATGGACCCAAAAGCATTGACGAAGCGTGGAGTAACCAAACCATTTGAACTTGAGACTATTCTGAATATAGTTACCTAGCTACTATTTCTCTTCCCCCAAACCCATTTTATTTGTTCCATTCCCTCCTTCCAGAGGAGAATCCAAAGAAAGCTGAGAATCGAGAGATTGTGCTTTTTCTGATATTGATGACAGAAGCTGTAATACTGGCAAGTGCTGTGTTATTGTGAGTTTTCCACACTCCAAGAATTCCTTTGCTTAAAAATATTGCCAGTGCAAAAGGGGGAAAGGATAGATGGAAGCTTGATAGTATGAGTCAGAACATAAGGACAAGAAGGATAATCCTGGAAGAAGAAAACGTTATTAAGAGCACAGACACTGACAGTGATGTTGGGATTACCTTCTTTCTTGACTAGATTCCATTTTTGTGTCTCACATCGGAGGAAAATGAATGCAACCCGAAGGACATTGAAGAAATATTTGGAGAAGAAACTTGAAGAATTAGTGGGGATGGTAGAAAAGGAAGATGAAAGAAAAGATTTGGAGTTCCAGAAATCAAATACGAAAACTCAGACAGGAGATCCTTCAAATGTGGACTCAGAGTTGCAAACTGGGACTTGAGTTCTTGCATGGTCATAAGATCATACCATTTTAAAACTGGAAAGGAACTTAGGGTTTCTCCAGTGATATCCTTCCTGATATACTGAGACTCTGGATGGACTGAGAGGGAAATGATTTATCCTGAGTTGTACAGAAAGCAAACTGGTATGTTGCAATACACACAGAAAACAATATGCTGTGTCGAAATAAAAATGCATTGTTAGTCACTCTCATGAATGGTTGTAATTAGGACAAATTTCATCTTTATAAATCTAAATTTTATTTGTATATTTTTTATTTCTGTTACCATGCCTACCATCAAGTTCAGTGTGGATGATTTCCTAAATAATGTGTGATACTTAATCTTTATCATGATATCATAAACACACACACATATGTACAAAATAAAGTCCAAAATACTAGTCCCAAGTAATCCAAACATCTTCTTATAAAGCTGTTTCTTAAAATCAAGGTGGATATTCATTGTCCTCTTTCTCATGTGTGTGTGTGTGGTGTGCATGTATATGTGTACAAATTTTCCTTTGTGTGGGAGCATGTGTGTGGGTGTCTCTGTGTGTATGTGTGTGTATTTGTAAGCCAGAGGTTGATGTCAGAAATCTTCCTGGATCACACTGAAGTTCTTTAGAGGAAAGGTTTCTCAGTCACATCCAGTATTTGATGATATGACTAGTCTGTTAGCAAGTTTGCTCCCAGGACCGCCTTTCTCCACCTTCTGAGCGCTTTATCCACAGACCCATCTGCCCAGACTACAAATTTTTTGTTCTATTAATTTCTTTCACTCAGTACTTTTTATATTCATATTATCTTAATTACTGATCATCTGTTTATCTATATGTGTTATATATAAAAATCTCTCTATATAATCTCTATTTATATAAAATCTAACTGAATTCTCCTGCCAACCTTGTAAGTAATAGCACTATCATCTCCTCAGGATTAAGGAATCAAAATCTCTAATTCAAGGATGCAACACTAAGAAGAACTCACTTCTGAATGACCTGTGCTTATTAAAACCATCTGATTAGCATTGGTGGCCACAGATGTATAGCTATGATAGATTAATGAAAATTATAAAAACCTGAAATAAAACATGGACGTACTTCACTCTGATACTAATGAACTTTCCTCTCTATTTTGTTTACTTTTTTCTGGAAGCTTGTTTCAAAAAATAATCACATTTTATTAGTAGGAAATAAATAAAGGGTATCCTGACTCAGTAGTATGTGGAGGTGTTTGTAAATCTGCCCCACACTGGAGAACCTTGAGTGCTTGCTTACCACATTGTGTTGAGTGATGGGGATGATCTTGAAGCAATCTAGACATTGATATACTTGACTAATTCACTTGAAATTTATGGTAATCCATCTCCCAAGAGTATTGTAGGATATCTACTACTTCTCAGTGATTTAGCTGGGGTTCATCTATCCTCAAATCTTACTGGATGTATTACTCTGACTCATGGCATTATTATCATTACATTGCTTTATTTTTAATTATTGAAAAATATACACATTGAAAATAGAATTTTGGGGGGTGACTTTGCTTTAGTGTAATTATTATTTTATTTTAACATCTGCATATTTAAGATGTACACCATGATATGTTACAGATATAAAACGATCACCTAACAGCCAAGCTCTGTAATGGTTCTTGTTTCCTTCTTTGTTCTGCTGTCTGTTGTCTCCTCTCTAATCTACCAATCCTTTAGTGAAGTGCATCTCTCCTTCTTTTAGTGTCTGATAGGTTAAGAGAGAGGCAGATGGATCTCTGTGAGCTCAAGGCCAGCCTGGTTTACATAGTGAATTCCAGGCCAGCTGGGGCTACAGGGAAGCTCTGTCTCTTATTAATTAATTAATTAATTAATTAATCTTTAACATAGGATCTCTCTGTAGCCACAGGTCACCCAGAACTTGCTCTATAACCAGGTTGACCTCCATCGCACAGAGATCCGCCTGACTCTGCCTCCCAAGTGAGGGTTCTTTTAATTTTATGTGCATGCGTGAGTCCTTGCATGTATGTATATGCACCATGTCTGTGCCTGGTGCCCATGAAAACCAGAAAGGGGGCTTTAGCTATCTTGTTACTGAGTTACACATGGGTGCTAGGAACAGAACCTAAGTTCTCTGCTAGATAGAGAAGCAAATGCTCTTAATCTCTGAGTAATCTTTCCAGCTTGTTTCATCAATTCTGTTCAACTGCAGATGCTTAAAAATGAATAGGCACACACACACACACACATTCACAGATGATGTTTTGAGTCATAAACTTATGCACACACTTCTACTGATTTCATGCTGATTTTCACACTTACATTTGTAGAGTTTAAAACATAGTTCCCTGGACAGAATTCTAAGGTGCAAGGGATTTTAGATAATGTTCCCTGGAGCTGTGGTCCCCAACCTTGAGCCATGGTTTCACATTCCTCTGGTGGTAGGCTAATGGTGGAGCAGACTGGAGGATGGAGGACCTCCCCATTTGGGGCAGCAGTTTCCATCTTCTCTGAATGACCTCACTCCCCACAGGCTTTTTCCCTGAGGTCCCAGTTTGCCCAGGTCCCAGGTTGTACATGGCAATGGTTTTGCCTCTATGTTGGGCTTATGCTGGGGTCAAGGGACGTTTCTGTCATTTGCAGATTCTGATCTTGGGAGAACTGATTTTCTAGAACACACTTCCCACCTCCATTGAGGACCAGCTGTGCTCTTGACTACACCTATGGTCCTGGGCAATCAGGCCTTGATGTTGGGCACCTCCCATTCCCAGGCTCCAGGAGGTTTCCCATTATCTCTCCGTTACGACCCAGTATGCCTTCATCTGTGCCCTACAGCAAATGTAAAACGCCTGATTGAAGTTCTAACGTAAAAATAACTGTCTGGGAAGTCACAAAAGGACTGTAATAACTAAACTGATATAATTCACAAATTAAAAATATGTAATTGTATTTTAAAATGTAAATTTCCAATTTTATATGTCTACTGTAATTTTTGAATATTACAAAAATTAAATATTTGAATAGTTACAAAACTGTGCTATTCAATGTCAGTAATAATATAAATTTTATCACTGTTGCTATGAGTCTGCCATTCACTCCCTTTCCAAATTCTTTGACTTATAAAAATTTCTCCTACGTATTTTTAAAAATTTTATTTATTATTTTTATTTTATGTGTATGTGTGGATTGCCTGCATGTAGGTAAGCGCATCCATCTTGTGCAGTGCCCACAGAGGTCAGAAGAGGCTGTCGGATCCTCTGGGACTGGAGTTATCTTCTAAAGAGCTTTATAAAAAGTTCATGTTATTTTTTAAATAAAGTAATGCTAATGAAAAGTTTTAAAATAAAAAGAATGAGCTTTTTGTGAACCTGGAACTTTATCAGCTGTACCAAATGGGGAAAATGGGTGTATTAACTGGGGAGGAAGGAGAGAGGTTAGAGACGGAGAGAGAGAGGAAAGATAAAGTTTAGGTGGTATGAAAAACCAGAGGGAAATGCATTAGCTCAGAAACGTACTGAAAAATACACGTACAACATCTGAATGTGAGCACATATGTATAGCTGAAGGCTGTATAACAAGTCCATAGTGCCGGACAGAGGAAACCTCCCTTGGAGTTGTTGGCCAGTGTAGTCTAAGAGACTCCCAGTATAACACAGGCTACTGCTGCAGTCCTTGATTACCTCCCAGAACTTGAAGATAAGACCCTCTTGAAGACAGGACATACTGGACTTCAAACAGTGGAGCTGGAACTGACTTGAAAGCCACCTCCCTGAAGACTAGCTCCTATAATTTGGGAGGATATTATGAAGGCTTCTAAGGGGGAAAATAGTTCAATGGTCCAACCCCAGCTTTAAAGCCTAATAACCACAATGACTGTCTCTTATTGGTGCAGTAGTGACATTTTTATCTAGGGGTTAATCAACATCAATTTAATTGGACTTATAGCCCTCTCAGTGGGAGGAAACTCATGGATGGCACTGTAAATATAACCAAATACACATTGCTGGAGAGGTCATAGATCCTAGAGAGAGAAAACGCTATCTTGGTCATATACTTAAATAAAATTTCTTCCTATATGCTAAATATCGATCCTTATATTTACAAGTGTACCACCCACCACTCATTAAAGAAGCTTCTTTTTGCAACAGATGGAGACTATTACAGAGTCCCACAACTGGTATAACGCAGAGAATAAGTGTCTGAGAGATGCCCAGCCCTAAGTGACACATCTACCATGGAACATCTATACCTAAGGATCATGGAATATAGAAGAACAGGGGGTTAAGAGAATACTAAAGAATCGTTCAACTCTCAGCAAAGAAGCTTCCTCGTGAAATACAGGCCGATGCACACAGAAGGTCACACTGACCAAAGTGTAGAGAATAAGAGACTTCAGTGTTCATGTCCCTGGGTAGGACGCCCATGTTAAACCTCACCCATCCACAGCTCAGAGACCTTTGCAGAACAGGGGACAGAAAGATTTTAACAGCAGGGTTAGTGCATAATCATAAGGAAACAGAGTCTTCGAGGCTAATAAACTTATAGCAATGATGTAATCAGGTACAAGACCCACACAAACTCAATTAGACAAAAACCTAGCATAGAACTGGGGAAATGGGCAGGAGGTTCCAATCTCAGCTGAAAAATTATTCAAAGCTTCTTACTGCTGGGTGAGGGAGAGTAGATTTTCTTTTAAGGAGAGACTCTAGATAGGCTGACTAGACTCTCGTGGATAAACTTGTGCTGAGAGACATCTGGGTACACAACCTTGACTGGAAAGGTCCTACCATATATGACAGAATGCATGAAATCCAGTGGGGGAACTGGAGGAGTGCAGGTGGCTGAGGTGTAATAAAGATGATTGAAATATTTTGTATGAAACACACAAAAATCCAATAAGACAGATTTTTAATGAAAGTTGTTTGAATAGTCCTAAATATCTTGTTGTAACTAAATCTGGCTTATTTGTCTTCCTGGTCCTAGAAAATATGAAGGACTATCCATGAAAAGA